TATTTGTTTCTCCATCTCAAACTCACAACTCATTACCATGTTATGTGAGATCCGCCAGGCCCTTCTGAGGCTAAATACTTGTCAGGAGAAGAGAGAGATGAGCATTTCACAGGCGGGGGTGTAGTTGCTGACCAAACGATAATCTTTCGTGTCAAATTATTCTTCTGGACTTTGTCCATCGTCTAAATTATAAAATTAGTTTCTGTCCACCTTCCACTTGGTTTACCTGGTGATGGAAGCACAGCTCAGCTTTCGAAATGTTGTGTATTTTACAATGCATACGATAGGCAAAGTCCAAAAGAATAATTATACGTAATACAACGCAATGTGATCAGAGACCTTTTGACTTCCATAATCGTTGTACGCCAGGCAGAGTGTATATTTAAAATGCAACCCCATAACACTCACATGCTACAGAACAGAAACGAACTCAGAAGCAGGTCAAACCTCGTGCAATGCACTCCCCCAGCCTCCCCCGTGACACTCGTCAAGGTCATCCTGGATGCTAAGCCACTGCGCAAATGCTGTAGAAAGTTGGTGCAGTGCCGTCTTATTCGAGACAAGACACACTGCAAAATGCTTCACGAACAGTAACAGATGATTTCGATGTAAAGTAATGCTCGAGAATGAACAATGAATAAAGAACGAAAGACAAATGGTTCTAAACTGAATGGTAGACGCTTAATGTACAAGTAGTTCAAACTTAAAGCGGTGGTTCTCTCTTTGTAAACATCCGTATTTCACACTGCTCCCAGGACAGAAATCGGCTAGTATAATTTAGCAAATCCAGTTTCCGCTCTGACCGCGTAGTGTAATTACATGCAATGTATTTACAACACTAACTATTCAGCTAAATTACGTATAGCCGATTTCTATGACCTCAATAATAGACCTACTGTTGGGTCCATCCACTACAGGAAGTCAGGCAACAATTACTGACCCGGCTGAACACTTCGTCTCTTCTTTGATTCAGATATTGTCCTCAGCACATAAAATTTAAAACGCTATGCAATTTACGTATTGTCTGGTAGTTAACAAAAGCGTAACACAGATTCAAGAGTTCTTTCGTAATACAATGACCAACCAATTTCACGTTTTCACATCTGTAAAACATAAACTCCATTTCTTCACATATAACTAAGAACGTGAAAGCTTCAAAATATATTGAACTTCAACGAAAGCTGTGGGTGTATCAAATTACGACACCGAAAGTTGTCCAAAACATTAAACGACCTTGAGTTACCTGAGATGCAACCAAACCACTTACTGGAACGGTGGATACTTCATGATATTCTTAAAATAATTTTCCAAGTGTGGGCAAAGAGACAAGGGGAAGATGCAACTGGCCATTTTAAAGATTTCACTCGATAGATAAAAAAAAAGATAATTGTATCAGAAGTAAATAACTATATGAGTTAGCGAAGTTCAGTTTAGAGGTGAATAACTGAGTTGGACAGTAGCTGCCACCACCTAAGAGCACCACAATGAAAAAATATTTATTGGGCCGTGCACCAGAGAAACAAAACAATAAGGCCTGACGCTGTTCAGAATACAAGTCGGGTATTGTTCGAAAGTGTTTGCGGAAAACGGCTACATGTGATAATTTATTACAGATTGGTGGAGATTGCATGATGACACGGCCTGATTTACTTCCTCCGTAACTGCTTTTCAGCTATTAGTTTTTGTAGCTGGTCGTTCGTTTACCACCGCCTTTGTTAGGTGCGATATAGTTTTAAGCAGGAATTTCTTCACGGCCTGATCGAAAATATGAATCAATAAAATAGATTTCTTACACGCAACTGCGCACTGTTCTGGTCGTAATTACGCGGGGAAAATGAATAGTTTCAAATAGACCCAACGTCCACACCCATGGTCATGTTAAATTTGTGATATTAGGTACAGAGTATTCAAATAGCCCGTATGTTAAAAAATGCATTCTAAACTGTGGAATATGAGAACAGAAAGTAAACGAAACTACTCAGGACTGTCTTATAAAACACATTAAGTGACTTGACTCCTTTATTCAGATTAACTGCTGTATTAAAAAACACGTCTGGTCTAGCGGTACCACATGTAGGCCCATATTTAATTCGGTTATTATGATTTTAAATTTATTTTAAGTTAATTTCTTAATTTTCACAACTGTGTCCAGTGATATATGATAGTACATTTAAAAGCGCCTAATTTACAGGTCAAGTGAAGACGTCCACTTAATATAATCATAATCAAAACTTTCTTGTAGTTTCACTTATCGATTTACCTTCACTAGTAAACTGCATGAAAATATTTATGGATTGCCAGTAATATATATAAAATCGAGTTTAACGGAATACCACTGATACAGTTTATACTCTGAAAAATTAGTTTAACTTAACCCACAACCTTCATGTAGAAATGACGGCTGCTATCAGCAGACCATCGGAGGATACACCATTATTTCTCTGTTTGTACCTACCTGTATCCATGCTGAATTTCTACTCGAAGAAAACAGTGCTTCAACTATCGAAAATCGTAAACAATCGAGAAATATAATTAAGGCCTAAAACCATGTTATGTTAGTCATTTTATATAAAAAACAGGAATCATTCGACAAAAAGTGATACCTTCCTGGAATCCCGAGAATTCATAACGATTCGAGACTGAGATATGCGTGTCGCAAAGAGTAAAGTAGGTCGAACGCAAACTCATGAGGTATTTATATGGTGTCGGATAGATTAGTCTTGGCTTTCAGCATGCAACATGATCAATTTTCGAAACGAGTGTATCAATCGTGAGAAATTATTTTCTCCAATTTCAATATACACTAAAGGTTAATATAAGCAGAGGGTTACTTTATATGACAAGATTGTGACGAAAGACTAAAGCATTCTGACACTTTCTCAGTATATCGCATGTAAGAACGATTCACCTATCATGTATCCGCACAGACCAGTAACTTTTAGGGGCGGTTTACGTAATTAAAATCTGATACCAAGAACTTCACCAGGAATAAATACTGTAACAACTATTACATATGTAAAACGCCCGTTTTCACTTAATACGCAATACAGCCTCCATTTACTAGTAATGGCTTAATAATATATAATTGGAGAGTTGGCTGTGATTACTACACTGATACACACCTTGGAAAATCGACTGAATATTAGAAAAATGCATTTTCGGGCCGTTAGGATCTACTTCATTTAACGCTGCTTTTAATTTAAAAAAAAACTTATATACCTACATATACCACAAAAAGTCCTTACAATTTTTACAGATATGCTCTCTGAATGAAATTTAAAGTTATCTTCAATGTTGTATTCAGTTTACCACAAATACAACACAATTAGTGCAACTTGAAAACTTCATGTATCGTCTTAGCTGTTCCATAAAGGCTGATTTGAAAATTAAGAACGACACCTATGCGTACATCAGATGATACTGTTAAAATCGACGTTAACAAATAAGATCAGGACGCGGGCTGCTTTCAGATGGCTGATAATAGAAGTCTTTGAGTGGGGGGGGGGGCGGCTCTTGTGAATATGTTACTACACCTTCAAATTACATAAAGGTCTTGGGATTTACTGACTAGATGAACGACTATTACAGTCTCAAGACGGATTCTTCTCCATGGAGTAAGTTCATAGTTCTTGGTAAACATTCCCCTTTCTTCTTTTTTGAAATTTCCCCAAGGACTGGTAGTTTGTGGTAGGTGAAATAAGGTACATTGTGGTTTAAAGACTTTGGGGCCGGGCAGCGATCAGTTCATTACGCAATAAAAGAAACTCGTGAATAGGCAGTGAGAGAGTAACAGACAACCGCGAGGAGAAACACTGCCAACACCCAACAGCTATAGCGCAGGTGATTTCGAAGTGCATGTTCAACTTCCACCGCGTCAGTTAATTAGGTTTTCGAATCTAATGTACGCAGACCTTAAATGTGTCAGACTATCGACCTAATGGAAACAGTTTAGAAACGGAGAACGACTAAATAATTCAATTCGTGATCAGAGCGCAGTATGGAGCCGGGCAGGCGGGCGAACGAATCGACGGACGGACGGACGCACGGAAAAGTACTGGAGCGACGAGAGCGTACTCGCACTATTCCGCGTGGAAAAGCGAGTCAAAGTCGAAAAGACACCTCGGACATCTTAGTGCTCTCATTTTTACGATGAAATGAGAGCTGATAATCAACAGAGAATTCTGATGTATTAACTTCCAATCAACCACTAAGTATATTAGTCTATAAATATAAACGTGATTGAAAATTAGGAAATCATCATCATGACAATCATTACATAATTATGTTTAAAATCTAAACCGGAAGAAGTTAGTTCAGATTACTTGCTTAGTCCGTATATTCCAACAACAGTGTTTGAGCTGCTGAGGTTATTCAGCGCAGAATAAGGAGTGAAAGGGAAACGAAGCGAGAAGCAGTCATTCATCGCCGTGCCATTATGGAATTTGCTACGTGGACTGGTGAAAGTCTCGAATATTGTACAGCCACAGTGCGCTGAAGTTGGCTTATGTACCACATTAAGTACTGTGGCGCCACAGACAAAAGAGAACTGAAAGCAACATACAAACACCCTTACTGACAAACTGAAGGGCAGTGTCCACAGTGGCTGTGAACAAGGTCACGAGCTTGCTTTAAAACAGGTCCTAGGCGGGGAATTAGGAACTGAGTCTTAAGAAAATATCGATACTTAAGGGCGTATGCTGCATCATTTATCATTCACTGTGCCAATCTGAATTTGCTACATGGACTGGGTTAAGTCACGAATGATTTCAGTCCAGTTCTACCTTATACTAGACATAGTGGCCGACGTACAGACTTATCAAGTCTTGAAATTCAGAATCTTAAGACAAATGTGAAAGACGACAACCTGCAATGTCAGAGGTGAAATATAACTAAGGCTGGAAAGTAAATAAATTACACAGTTACTTACAACATATATAACAGACTATGTATTCAAAGTTGAATACACATTTATTACCAATTAATTAGCATAAGTGCACCGCAAAAGGCTACAAAGAACGTTTACTTTGCCTTGCAGACAACACAGCCTAATAATAATTGTATGTCATTCTTCATGAACCTCGGAATACGAAAACACGCATGAAATGCCAGTGTAAAATCCAGCCGGCCACCGGTAACACCTGCCTAAACCCTCAAAAGTGGCGGGTGACATGGGACATCACACGGATACGTAGAAACCTGAAAAATTTCACTCTGTTTTACTGTTCTGAATAATACAACCATACAGGAAGTCAGTAAATACTACGAAAGGCTCCATATAATTCCAGACGTTCATTAGCCTAAACATGTAAATTTAATATTCGTGTCCATTACTTACATTTGCAGTTTGTGTTACGAGACTTACAGGAGTCCTAACACTGAGCAAACTTTTAAGACTACTCACACAGTTCAATACAAAATATTCAGCCGATTCCATGGCCAAGCTTTTATTCTCAAGTCCCATACAAGAACTTCCAACTTATGTAGAATGCTGAAAGTTATTGTTCAGCCCGTGTGCTGAAGTTGGCTTATGTATCTCATTAAGGACTGTGGCGCCACAGACAAAAGAGAACTGAAAGCAACAAACATCCTTAATGACAAACTGAAGGGCAGTGTACACAATGTCTGTGAACAAGGTCACGAGCTTGCTTTAAAACAGGTCCTAGGCGGAGAACAATTAGCAAGCGAGTCTTAAGAAAATATCGATTCTTAAGGGCGTATGCTGCATCATGTCAGTAAACTGCACGGGCAATACCGCTGTGAAAACCTCAAATCTTACAATGAATAAATGGCGGGCCTTGCATGTAAAACTTTGGATTACATTAAAGTTCACTAAATTATTCTCAGCTATGCAAATAACCAATAAGACCGGTCCCTCTTTACTGCAGCGATGAAGAACTGACATGTTTTTTTTTAAAAAATAAGATGTACAATTTTGCGGAAGTGCAGATCCTGTAAAGTCATTGTTATTATTGCGATGATGTAGAACTATGTCTGTGCAAAAGCGCAGATGAAGAGCCATTTGTCGATCCCCAGGTGAACACGTGTGAATGTAAAGCAGTGGCGGAATGGTGTTGGCCGCGGAAAACTAAAAACTCTGAGAAAACCTGTCTCACGGTCACTTTACCGCCCCACTCCCCAAACATGGGTTGCCATGGGCGCGAATCAGGTCCTCCACAGAAAAAAAAGGCAACTAACCGCCTGAGTTACGACACAGCTTTTGCCAAATCTCAGAAAGCCGTATACCACCAGTGTAACAGACTTATAGTGACGTCGGTAGGTATAATTTAAAGCAGAAGTAGAACACAGTGTGTAATGTACGTAAAATAAATAGTGTTCACGTAATTTCTGTCTAAAATGAACAATGAGAAAACAATTTATAACAAGTGCGAATACCACATTAAAATACTAATAAACTTTTAATGACTGAGGAAAAAAACTATTCTTGTAAAATAGTTCATAAGAGCTTCTAACAATTTATTCCTTTGCTAGTTTTATAGACGGAAAATTCTTGCTTAAAACAGCCCTTTATCCACCTACTGAAGAATTTAAAGAAACAAAATGGGACTTTCCCACATTATTGTGAACAAAGAATCTCCCTCACTGTAAATGCTACACTGTCCTCCACCACCAATAACAATGGCACTGTTTCCTCCTTTATCCTGGCGAAAAAGAACAAACATCTTCACATCCGCACTTTGACCATAAATCTAAAAATATTGGCGTTAGAGTTAAAAATTGAAGCAAGAGTACCCCAAAACAAATTATGAGTTTTTATACCCCGCAGTGACCGCAATTTTCATTTTCCACTATTAGTTTGATGTAGAAATTGGCGTACAGCTAAAAGAATGCTACATTAAAAGATAAGAATAATAAGACCAAAACTATTAAATGCGAATGAATCAATCTTCCCAGTAATAATCACGGTCTTATTTAATTGCGTAAAACGTTTCTCCTTCAGTCCTGACTTCACCTTGTGCGCTGAGATCCAAGCATCTTCTTCCAGCTTGCGTCAAATTTAAAATTCTTCGTAACTCAACAACTCACAACTATTGCTTCCTTTTCTGCAATCTGCAAGAAAGTATATAACCATATTCCGCGTTAAAGAATCGATCACGTAACCGACTGGGGCCGTATTTTAAATCAGAATCTGTTTCTTAACGACTAAATGGCGCAAAAAAAACCGTACAACAGAACAATCCAGACATCGAATGCCGTGTCATGATTAACGAACCAAGCAGACCTACCTCCGCTTTTAACAGCTCTGTATAAGAAAACAGATCAAGTGCATGTACTGCAACCTAACGCGTTTTCATGCTGTGAAAAATTTAAAATGGTGACCGTATCGTTAGTACAAGGAAGTCTTACCAGATCTACCGCTAATCGGACAGAAGAATTACTAGATCTAATCTGTAATCGTAGCACAACTTCTTTTGGTATGCGAGGCGTGTCCGCAGAAGGTCATGTATTGTCACCACAGCAAGCAGGCAGCGCCAACCTCCAACGTAATTTTTTCATCCCTTACTTTTGAGTGCAGTATATGCCTATGATCAAAAAGTCGTAACTATTTGTTGGTTTGACACGGACATTCATTAATAACTTCAACAAAATAGTTTACGGGATTTCAAATTCTCACGGCGGTGAGTATGAAGTTGGCTGTCTTCTGGGTTGCTGAGCCGCGTAGTCTGAGGTGCAACCCACCTTCAAGAGAAGAGTAACAATGCATTTGTTATTATTATACAGTTTTGTTCCTCATATTTCTACTATGGCGACTACTCACACCTGCAAATACTGGTTCTAATACGGGGCAGGAACCGAACAGGGATGTTACGTGGTTTTCATGAACCCCATCAGTTGAATACCTGGACAAATAACCTGAAAACAGACTTGGGACCCATTCCTCCAACAAGCTTCCCCACAATTTCTCATTCATAATCTTTTCACTATGCACAGTACATTATCTAAGCAACTGATACAGCAAAAATTTGTGGATATTGTGATGGATGCCTAGATGGCCCACTTGTTAGGCAATTTTGTACGATAGATAAACGACTTCCAAACAGCCTAAGACAACCAAACCCTGGACTGATTTTGAAGTGTTACTAATGCAATATCTAACTTCACCAAGCCCAATTTTTGTATAATCTTTTCATAAAGATTTCTGTCTTCTGGGTTGTTGCGCCGTGTAGCCTGGTCGATGCTAACCAACGTTTCAGAGATCATCAGGGCGATGAATATTCATTGCCCTGATGACGGAGGCAGTATGATCTCTGAAACGTTGGTTAGCATCGACCAGGCTACACGGCGCAACAACCCAGAAGACAGAAATCTTTATGAAAAGATTATACAAAAATTGGGCTTGGTGAAGTTAGATATTGCATTAGTAACACTTCAAAATCAGTCCAGGGTTTGGTTGTCTTAGGCTGTTTGGAAGTCGTTTATCTATCGTACAAAATTGCCTAACAAGTGGGCCATCTAGGCATCCATCACAATATCCACAAATTTTTGCTGTATCAGTTGCTTAGATAATGTACTGTGCATAGTGAAAAGATTATGAATGAGAAATTGTGGGGAAGCTTGTTGGAGGAATGGGTCCCAAGTCTGTTTTCAGGTTATTTGTCCAGGTATTCAACTGATGGGGTTCATGAAAACCACGTAACATCCCTGTTCGGTTCCTGCCCCGTATTAGAACCAGTATTTGCAGGTGTGAGTAGTCGCCATAGTAGAAATATGAGGAACAAAACTGTATAATAATAACAAATGCATTGTTACTCTTCTCTTGAAGGTGGGTTGCACCTCAGACTACGCGGCTCAGCAACCCAGAAGACAGCCAACTTCATACTCACCGCCGTGAGAATTTGAAATCCCGTAAACTATTTTGTTGAAGTTATTAATGAATGTCCGTGTCAAACCAACAAATAGTTACGACTTTTTGATCATAGGCATATACTGCACTCAAAAGTAAGGGATGAAAAAATTACGTTGGAGGTTGGCGCTGCCTGCTTGCTGTGGTGACAATACATGACCTTCTGCGGACACGCCTCGCATACCAAAAGAAGTTGTGCTACGATTACAGATTAGATCTAGTAATTCTTCTGTCCGATTAGCGGTAGATCTGGTAAGACTTCCTTGTACTAACGATACGGTCACCATTTTAAATTTTTCACAGCATGAAAACGCGTTAGGTTGCAGTACATGCACTTGATCTGTTTTCTTATACAGAGCTGTTAAAAGCGGAGGTAGGTCTGCTTGGTTCGTTAATCATGACACGGCATTCGATGTCTGGATTGTTCTGTTGTACGGTTTTTTTTGCGCCATTTAGTCGTTAAGAAACAGATTCTGATTTAAAATACGGCCCCAGTCGGTTACGTGATCGATTCTTTAACGCGGAATATGGTTATATACTTTCTTGCAGATTGCAGAAAAGGAAGCAATAGTTGTGAGTTGTTGAGTTACGAAGAATTTTAAATTTGACGCAAGCTGGAAGAAGATGCTTGGATCTCAGCGCACAAGGTGAAGTCAGGACTGAAGGAGAAACGTTTTACGCAATTAAATAAGACCGTGATTATTACTGGGAAGATTGATTCATTCGCATTTAATAGTTTTGGTCTTATTATTCTTATCTTTTAATGTAGCATTCTTTTAGCTGTACGCCAATTTCTACATCAAACTAATAGTGGAAAATGAAAATTGCGGTCACTGCGGGGTATAAAAACTCATAATTTGTTTTGGGGTACTCTTGCTTCAATTTTTAACTCTAACGCCAATATTTTTAGATTTATGGTCAAAGTGCGGATGTGAAGATGTTTGTTCTTTTTCGCCAGGATAAAGGAGGAAACAGTGCCATTGTTATTGGTGGTGGAGGACAGTGTAGCATTTACAGTGAGGGAGATTCTTTGTTCACAATAATGTGGGAAAGTCCCATTTTGTTTCTTTAAATTCTTCAGTAGGTGGATAAAGGGCTGTTTTAAGCAAGAATTTTCCGTCTATAAAACTAGCAAAGGAATAAATTGTTAGAAGCTCTTATGAACTATTTTACAAGAATAGTTTTTTTCCTCAGTCATTAAAAGTTTATTAGTATTTTAATGTGGTATTCGCACTTGTTATAAATTGTTTTCTCATTGTTCATTTTAGACAGAAATTACGTGAACACTATTTATTTTACGTACATTACACACTGTGTTCTACTTCTGCTTTAAATTATACCTACCGACGTCACTATAAGTCTGTTACACTGGTGGTATACGGCTTTCTGAGATTTGGCAAAAGCTGTGTCGTAACTCAGGCGGTTAGTTGCCTTTTTTTTCTGTGGAGGACCTGATTCGCGCCCATGGCAACCCATGTTTGGGGAGTGGGGCGGTAAAGTGACCGTGAGACAGGTTTTCTCAGAGTTTTTAGTTTTCCGCGGCCAACACCATTCCGCCACTGCTTTACATTCACACGTGTTCACCTGGGGATCGACAAATGGCTCTTCATCTGCGCTTTTGCACAGACATAGTTCTACATCATCGCAATAATAACAATGACTTTACAGGATCTGCACTTCCGCAAAATTGTACATCTTATTTTTTAAAAAAAAACATGTCAGTTCTTCATCGCTGCAGTAAAGAGGGACCGGTCTTATTGGTTATTTGCATAGCTGAGAATAATTTAGTGAACTTTAATGTAATCCAAAGTTTTACATGCAAGGCCCGCCATTTATTCATTGTAAGATTTGAGGTTTTCACAGCGGTAGGTATGAAGATTTCTGTCTTCTGGGTTGTTGCGCCGTGTAGTCTGGTAGA